CTACTGGGAATATACCCTGAAGAACTCAAATCACTCTAAAAAAGATACCTGCACACATATGTCTATCGCAGCATTGTTCACAATAGCAAGAACTTGGAAACAACCATGCTGCCCATCAAAAGAGGACTGGATTAAAAAAAATGTGGTACATATACACGATGGAATACTACGCAGCCATAAAAAAGAACAAAATCATGAATTTCGTAGCAACCTGGATGGAACTAGAGTCTATAATACTGAGTGACCTCTCACAGAGACAAAGATCCAAGTATCACATGTTCTCACTCATATAATGGACCTTGAACATCCAATGTAATACTATAAGAAAATGAGTGACGGTACTGGGAAACTATGGGGGGGGGATGGGATTAACAGTAGCAAATATCTGTTTGGGGACGGGGAAACACCTCTTATCAACAGGGTGCCTGAATGAAACGTAATTGTACACCTAACCCATAACTGTACCCCACAAAACCATAATAAAAAATATTGATTATGAAGAAGAAACAAAAAAAGAAAAATGACAGATAAAAAAAGAGAGAGAGACTATTCCTATTCCTAGGGATACACACTGATATGTTTAGGCACAAAGGGCCATAATGTATATAATTATATACATAGTTCAGGGAAAAAAATATTTCACAGAAAGAGCACAAATGATAAGAACAGATCGGGTAAAGTGTTAAACAATAGGCAAATCTGGTTAAAGACTTAACAGGTATTCTATGTACTGTTTCTGTAATTGCAACTTGAAGTTTAAATTACTACCAAATAAAAAAGCATCTTAATAAAAACACATACAGAAAAATAAAACATGTAAAATTTAAGTTGTTTCCTTTGGGCTTGAAGTTTTACTCTCAGAAAGCTATTCTATCACTTCCTCTAAATATATATATTTTTAAAATAGCACTTAGCATCAGAACAAGAAATACATTCCATGATTGAATTCTAGATTTCTGTGAACATATCTATAAAATATTAATGATATTTTATACTAGGATGCATGATTATGCTGTTGTCACGATTTAGACATATGTTTATTAGATGGTTATTTACCAGACCATTTCATAAAATATCAGCTGATTCCTGGTCACAATACTGGTGGGAAATATTTAACTGCTTGAAAGGAAAAGAAATTAGGAGAAAAAGTGTAAGTGAGATTTTAATCTGAGTATTTGGCCATTGGAGTAAAAATGAAGGACAAAGACTTAGCAATGGTCTTCTAATTGGTCCCCTGTTAATTTATAGTATAACAGTTTGGTTTGAATGGTCTGTGATATTCCTAAAGCCAGTTTATAAATCACATTTTTACATTTAGTTCTTTCTTACTTGGCTAGCTCTCTTTTATTTACTCTTAGCCACGATCTATGTTTATCTCCTTGGAAAAACCTTTTCCTTTCTAAGCGTTTTTGCCTAGAATTGTATCTCTCTCAAATTTGTTAATTCTCATAGTCCAGATCTATATATTGTCGAAATCACAGTTGTTCTTTATACTTTTTATCATGAATTCCTCTATTTTACTTAATATTGTGCTCTGCTAAGTAAGGATTTATTATCACTAATGATATGAGGATCATAAGTATTTAAACCATGAAATTAAATGAAATTAAGTTATTTTTTAACTTTGCTGTGCCTTTTTACTTTTCCTTACTGAGGTTAGCTTCCATGGGCTAGATTTACATCCCATTCAGCCTAAAATTTTTTTTTTCCTTTTGAGTACATTGTGAGAAACTTTATAGGCTTGTTATAGTTATATAGCTATCTTAATATGTAAACCTAAATAGTAAAGGATATTTCTTTATTAATAATCCTTTTATTTCCTTCTAAAGATACTACCTCGGACACAAGTTAAATGATATAATTAACCATACCAATAAAACAGTGATTAAAGCAACACAAAATCAGGTCCCAAATTTAAAAGCTAAATGACTACTCCATTAGGAAGGTCTTAGCTCTATGGGACATCAAAATCTGTCAACTCCTCAGGTAGGGGAAACAGTATATAAGAGGGAGCATTATAGGAGCTGACTCCAGTTTCCTTAATAACCATTCTCCTGAAGGTATTTGCAGAATAGTGGACAGCTTTGTAAAATCTAATCCACTGGGAAGGACATCTGTATTCCTTCATTTGCTTTTTTACTGATAAAAATTTATTGATGCATTTTAGAAGCCAGTGTGCTCACAGCTTTATAGCTCTTGGATTGAAGTTCATGCTAAATAAAAGGCACTTAAAAATATATATAAAGATGAGTCTCACATTTAAAATAGACTGTATAATAATAGATTACTGTTGACATGCTTATTTTCCCCCTGTGGCAGCAATGATAACTATGTAAATAAGTCAAAACCCACCTTTTAAAAAAATTTTTATTTTAAAGATGTGGTGTACAATTCAGGATTAGGTATACAAGTTTTCATCATATAGGTAAAGTTTGGGCCTCCCTTTGGTCCCCTCTTTGCCTGGTTTGAGATCAGGTACCCTTAATGAGCTGTATCTCTCCTTCACACACCCCAGCAGTATTCTGCTACAACCAATCCCTTTCTTATAGTATTATGGTAAATGTTCAGGGTCCTCCTATGAGTGAGAACATGTGGTACTCTGTTCTTTGTTTCTGTGATAGATCACTGAGTATGATAGACTCTAAATCTATCCAAGTTGCTGTGAAGTTCGTATGTTTGTCCCTTTTTACAGCTTTGTACCATTCCATTGTGTATATATGCCACATTTTTTTTTTATCCAGTCCAGTTTCAATGAGAAGTATGGTTGGTTCCATGTTTTTGCTGTTGTGAATAGTGCTGCAGTAAACGTGTGTGCAGATATCTTTTTTGAAGAATGATTTGTGTTCCTCCAGGTATATTTCAAGTAGGGGGATTGCTGGGACATATACAAGGTCAATGTCTGGTTCTTTTAGAAATCGCCACACTGTTTTCCAAAGAGGTTGCACTAGTTTGCATTCCCACCAGTAATTTAGAAGCTTTCCTTTTTCTCTGCATCCTCACCAGCATCTTTTGTTGTTGGTTTTATTAATGATGGCCATTCTTACTGGGGTTAGGTGGTATCTCAATGTAGTTTTGATTAGCATTTCTCTAATGGTTAGTGAGACTGAGCACTTTTTCATGTGTCTGTTGGCTGCCCGTATATCTTCTCTTGAGAAGTGTCTATTCATGTCTTTTGCCCACTTTTTTATGGGACTGTTTAGTTTTTTGCCTTTTGGCACATTTGAGTTCCTTGTAGATCCTGGATGTTAGACCTCTGTCAGATATACAGTTAGCAAATATTTTTTCTCATTCTGTGGGCTGTCTTCCTACTCTCTTGATGATTTCTTTGGCTTTGCAGAAGTTTTTCAGTCTGATAAGGTCCCACTTGTCTATTTATCTCTTATGGCATGGGCACTTGAGGTTTTGATCAGGAATTGGTTGCCAGTTCCAATTTCCATCAGGGTGTCTCCTGCATTTTGTAAGGTTCTTATAGTTTGAGGTTTTATAGTTAGGTCTTTGATCTATTTAGAATTGATTTTCGTATGTGGTGATAGGTAGGGGTCCTGTTTCAATCTTCTATGTGTGGTCAGCCAGTTTTCCCAGCACCATTTACTGAATAGGTTCTCCTCTCCCCAATGGTTGTTGGTAGAGGCTTTGTCGAAGATGAGTTGGTTGAAAAATTGAAGTTTGGCTTCCAGAATCTCTATCTTGTTTCATTGGTTCGTATGCCTATTCTTGTACCAAAACCAGGCTGTTTTGATTATTTTAGCCTTATAGTAAAGTTGAAAGTCTGGAAGTGTGATGCCTCCCACTTTATTTTGCTAAGGATTGTTTTGGCTATTCATGGTCGTTTACGTTTCCATATGAATTGTGTTGTCATTTCCAGATCTGGGAAAAATGATGTTGGTAATGTAATGGATGTTGCATTGAATCTGTAGACTGCCTTTGGTAGAATGGACAGCTTAACAATGTTAATTCTTCCTATTCATGAGCATGGAATATTTTTCCATTTGTTTGTGTCTTCTTGGATTTCTTTGAGCAGTGTTTTGCAGTTTTCATGGTAAAGTTCTTTCTCTTCTCTGATTAGGAAGATGCCGAGGAAGCTCTTTTTTTTTTTTTTTTCTTTTTTTTGTGTGTGTATGGCTCTCATGAATGAGATTGTGCTTTTTATTTGGTTCTCTGCCTGCTTGTTGTTGGTGTTTAAGAATGCATCTGCCTTTTGCACATTTATTTAGTACCCTGAGACTTTGCCAAAGTCCAAAACCACATTTTTAATAGTTGATGATTTTAACATTAACACCTGAAATGGGGTCTTTTTCCAACACTGTATAAATATTTAACTTCAGAAAAGTGTGTAATTGAAAACAAGACACAGTCCAGATAATAGGTAGCAAGGACCAGACTGATTTTTTAATTGAATCACATTCATTATAAAGCCACGTGTGAAATTCTTCAGTTTATCCAGATTGATACAGACTTTGAAGAAACAGGAAATTTACTCTGACGTTCAAGAACAGTTTATTTTGTGACTGTTAATGGACTCTTAAATTCCTTTTGACAGATGGAGATGGACACATGGATCACTTACTGCCAGGCTGTGAAGATAAAAACTGCCAGAAAAGTACCATCTACTTAGTGAGATCTGGTACAAAGCAGGTACCTTAGTTTGTTTTTATAATGTAAACAGGGTTATTTGCTTGATAAATATCTTCAATGGTTAGAAAAAGTATCTGAAGAATCACAACAGTCAGAAACCCAAAAGTAAGTTATTAATTTCCTCATTTTAACCTAATGAAATACATTTAAATCTACTTTTTATTTGTTTATTGAGGGGAAAGTACTGTTATAATCATCTCTGGTGAAGAAAACTCATTCTGAATCCTGTAATTAAATGATGTTAGCTTTTTATGTGCTGAAATGTGGGAAAACACACTATAATAAAGGGTTATATAGAAAAACGTATCTATTGGGCATTCATATTGCTTGACTAGAGGTGAAATTCTTGGATAGATGCAAGACAGACCATAGTGAAAGCATTTGCCAAGAATGTTTTCAATCAAGAACGAAAGTCAGGAGTTTGAAGTCGATCAGATCAGTATCTCTTTTTAAAGCCAGATCTATTACATTCTCTCATGCTGATATTTTACCTATAGCTTTGGGTAAACGATATAGAATCTCATAGTCACAGTGTATGATTAATATGGGAATGATAGGTTACAACAATCGTATTGGAATTAATCAGCTTTATTTCTTTTTGTGGGGGTATTAACTGATATGGGTAGGGACATCACATTTTATACAAAAATGCTAAAGGAAACAAATCTTCATACAGTCAGCATTCTAAAAGCATTTAACTGGCTGGTCTGAGTGCAGTGGTGTTTACAACTAATTGTTCACAGCCAAGTACAGATTTGTTTCCTCTCCACTCCCAGTGCTTTTCTTCACTAGCCTTTTAAAAAATATTTAAGCAAAATAATAAAAGAGCATTAATATTACTCCTGTAAAGTTTATTATCTTGAACTTTTTTTAAAGTTTTGAATCACTTAAAACATTTGGTCAAGTAACACTTCATTGTTAGTTCAAAAATATAAGTAAGCCTAATAACTATAGCCTATCTTCAAGTGACAGATTACTGTAGGTATATTTTCAAATTATTGGGTCATCTCTCTCTGGGAAAACAAACATTACGATTCTATGGTGACAGTTACAGGTGTCACATTAAGTGAAACTTTTTTTTTTACATTTAAGACTTTAAAACATTCACCTTAACAGGATTACTTTATTCAGTGTGCTTTATCCTCATTAATAAACTGTTAGCCTCTTCAGAAATTTGTGTTAACTAGGCATTTTGTAAAATTTCCCATCTTCTTCCAAAATAAAACTAACACTATTATTTCAAAGTCAAGTGAAACTATTAAAACATCTTAATATATATAAAATAACACTTTCTTGCTTGAAAAAAAAATGTTTAAATGATTAAAAATGCAGACCAGATTTTTTCAAATTATTTTCCATAAATATGTCTTTATCAAGTTTTTTTTTCTTTTTCTGTGGCAAATTACATTTGGAAAAATATGTAATTTTCAGTAAGTCATTTTTTAATGTACTTTGGCTATATAGCCATGTAAATAAGTCACATGCTTATATGGAAAGAAAAAATTCTGTAGACATGTTTGGCCTCCTTCCGTTTCAAGTCAGCTATGCCTATTTGAGTTGAGACACCTTCAAGGTTATTTTCCAGCATCTGTACTATTGTGGGCACACCTATAATTGTAATGGCATGATTTCTACTCTTCAGATTTTTAGCTATTAGAAAGTGAAGATTGAAGCTTTCAGAAGAGAAAGGGATTAACAAAAACTCATTTTGAAATCAGCCTTTATCTCTGTTATCTTCATTGTAATTAATATAGGAATAGGAATAAAGAAATTTACTAAAAAATATATTTTCCAGCCGTTTTAGTGACAAACACATTTGCCTTGGCTGGGAAGTGCCTGTCAGTGGCAGACAAAGCTTGTCAGGCCTAATGCTATTGGGAAAGCTATTTGGCTGGAAGGTAATTACTGACATCATCTTCATGTAGAAAAGGCACAGCAGGAGAACAAGGGAGACTCTCATATTCTGACTTTCTTCCTAAGTTGTTCCTCCTAAAAGGACATTGGTATTAGATAATATAGTTCGCTTTAGTTTGTTTTTTTTTTAATATTCATTTGAGGTTACATTTCCAGTTGACACAAATTTTAAATTGTGTAATTCAACTAGATGACTATTAATATCAATTCAGTCCTAACAATTGTGTGATACTGTGAAAAATCTTGTAAGGTTCTGTGTGCCAGTTCAAGCAGAGACGAACAGAGATAAATTCTAAGGGAGACTGATTACTTTTTGTTCCTAGAGTTTGAATCACCTACTTATCAAAGTAAATTGTAATACCCCACTATGTTATAGACATAAAAAAGTAAAATGATGCTTATCTTGAAAACTTTTAATGGATCATTTATTTTGCAAATGGTGAATTATTTTTTTCTAAACTAACTGAAGTCTAATCTTTTTCTCTTAATTCATAGTGGATTCCAGTTCTACAGGATTTTAGCAATAAGGGCACACTCTGGGGCTTTGTGCCATTTGTGCATGAACAGCGACCAACTGAAATACCAATTCCAATTACCCTTCATGTTGGAGACTACAACATGGATGGCTATCCAGACGCTCTTGTAATACTAAAGAATACATCTGGAAGGTAAGGAAATTAAATCAAATGAAAAATATTTGTAAAGTATCTTCACTTTGTGACATGTTCCAAATCCTCAAGTAAGAAACATGATGAACTCAGTTTCTTATTTTATTATGTGACACTGGTTCTTCTCCTAGCTGCTTAGAATAACTGTTTGTTTGTAAAACAAAAATGAATATCCAGTCTAAAGTAAAAAGCTACTTCTCACTCAAGGAAATATGATCTTTAAGAGATTTTTTTCATTAGGCGAATGACCCAGTTACATTTGAGACAGAAGACCTTGGTGATTCAGGGCAGACCCTAGGCTCCCATTGCTTACCATCTGGGGGACTGTATTGTCTTTCTAATCCTTTTATTAATAATGAAATATTCTGGGTTTTCTCTATTTAAGGTTTGAATTCTTGTTTTAGCAATATTATTGTTAATTTCTGTTTCTTTTGCTTGGCATTTTTCAGAGGTTTTTTTTGTTCCTATTCTTTTATTCTCAACTTTACTGTGACATTTTATTTAATTTATAAAATTTAAATTCAGTGAAAGCTGCTCTCAGCCTCCCTTCTGGTTCATCTCCAGTCTCATAGGTAACAAATGTTTCGATTTCTATCACCATTCGTTAGTTTTGCCTACTCTTAAATCTCAGAACACTGCTGCAAGTAATTAAAGAACACCTAAAATAATGGAGAGATGTACCATCCTCACACAGCAGAACACTGCTAAAATGTCAGTTCTCTCCAACTTGATCTATACATATATCTATACATACTTAAGACTTACTGTGAGGCTATAGTAATCAAGACACTGTAGTATTTACATAAAGATATTTTAAAAGAGCAGAACAGAACAGACTTAAATACATAGACTTAAAGCTATGTATATGTGATCAATTGATTTTCTCTCCCAAAGGTGCCAAGACAATTCATTGAGAAGATGTATGAATGACCAATAAATATATGAAAGATGTTCAACATCATTGGAAATTAGAGAAATGCCATTAAAGCCATTATAATATACTTTTTCACACCCACTAGAATTGTTGCATTTAAAACTAGTGACACTAATGCAAGTAATTAAGACCAAATTAGGACCAAAAATTGGTAAGGATATGGGACAAGGGAAGCTCTCATACATTTTTTTTTATAAGATATAAAATTGTACCATCATTTTGGAAAACTCTACCCGTTTCTTATAAAGATAAACACATGCCTTCCCTGTTGTTCAGCAATTACCCTCCTAGCATTTATACAAGAGAAATGAAAGTTTAAATTCACCAAAAAATGGGTAAAAGAATGTTCATAGTAGATTTATTCCTAATAGTGAGAAATTGGAAACTAATCAAATGTCAATCAACAGGAAAGCAAATTTTGAAATATTGATATCACATAATACAATACTACTTAGCAATAAAAAGAATAAATTACTGAAGAAAAGGTAGCTGGCAACATGAATGAATCCCAGAAACCTTAGGTTAAGTGAAAAAAAGGAGTACATGATGAGAATTTTAAACAACTGCATATATGATGAGTCTTTGTCTCTTAAATTAACCCTTTCAAAGAAGCAGTGCAGTGTAGTGGTTAAGAGTTTGGACTCCGAAGTCTAGATCAAATTCTGGCTCTACAGCATACTACCTATCTGATCTCTATGTCTAAGTTTTAACACATGTTAATGAGAATAATGAGTACCTACTTCATAACATGCAGCATGAAACACTTGCTCTGTTTCTTCCACTGCATCATATCTCTCATAAAGTTAAATAAAAACCTTATTTCTAAATGTACCTTCGGAAAGGAGGAAAAAAGAACTTGAACTTTGAACCTCAGTTTAAATGTCATTTATTGTGAGGATCAAATGAGTTAATACATGCAAAGGATTTATTACACTGCCTGGCACAGGATAGGTGCTATGTGAGAGTTTACTATTATTTTAATTATTTAGTAATATTATCACTTGGTCACACCTGATTTGATTTCTTCCTGCTATTTCTTCTTTTTTGCCTTCTGTCAGCCATTCAAATTTTTCTTCCTTTGAAATTCCTAGAGTTGTTTATATATTTAAATTTTTATTTTTGTTGTAGTTGTTATATTTAAATGTTTAATATTTGTATTTAAATTTACATTTAATGAACTATTGGAGCTAACATGTAAGACAAGAATTTTAGCACATTTTCGGTTCTCCATCCCCCCAGCCCAGTTACTCCTCATTCAGTGATATTATTAGTATATTAATTGATTGATTTTCATATTTTGCTACTGCAGTTATTTATATTTGGCTATAGGGTTTTCTAGTTTCTCTGATCATCTTTGACTACCATTGATTATAGAAATGAACAAAACAGAATTGTGAATTAATCACTGCAAAGTACTACTCATCACTGTGAAAACAACTCAGAAAGTATGACCTACAGATAGCAAGTCAGGATCATTTTTATAAGTAGTTTATATGTATAGTACGACACATCATTAATTACAGAAAGAGTAGTGAATGATATACAAGTATATACACTAGTCTTTTTCAGACAAATTATGTTGGTAAATTTTGTTGCTTATGTACTATTGCTAACAAGACAAATTCCATCAAGCATTTTCTATATAACTGATTACTGCAATCCTAAAACATAGAATTATACTATGATAAAGTTAAAGTTTTTTATTTTTTGAATTATTAGCATATACAGTTAACTTTTTGATTTGGGAGGGCAATGCTGGGAAAAGAGAAAGGCATTCTAAGTAATATACTTAAATCTATTTTATTTCATTTTATTCAAATTCCACAGAAGAATCCTAGCCCCGAAGTTTTATGGCTTTATAGGAATGGTAATAGTTATCTTTAAAGGAGCAGTGGTGTGGAAGATTTTGAACTTTTATTTGTAAATCTTTGCATCTGTATGAATCAGATAAGTAGTGATGGTGTATGGAATAACCAGGATGATGGAATGGAAATACCTCTTCTGATAGTCTATGAGTATGTCAAGACTTAGACTCAGATCTTTCTATTATATATAGACTTGCAATCAGGTATATTAACAAAAGGAGAAATAGAATGCAGATGGAGTTGGTTTTTTTTTTTTTTACAAATTTATGAACAAAATACATTCTGAAAAAATTTTAGGTGAGAGTGCATCATGTAGCACTCACTCTGTTTCTTCCACTGCATCATATCTCATGTGAAGTTAAATAGAAAGCTTATTTCTAAATGTACCTAATTTTCCTCAAAAGATAGGAGGAAAAAAAGAACATGACTTTTTTTTCTGGACTTCACTTTAAATGCCAGTATCGCCGCTTGGAAGCTTTTCCTTTCAGTCATTTATTTTAGCTGTATGTACACCTATACATCTATAAAGTGAAGGTAGTTATTTATGCCTGCCCTACGAGCTCTGTGTGAAGACTGAGTGAAATACCGTTACCTCTCAAGCCTGAATTACTAAGAATCCTGTATTTACGTGAGACTGGCACAGCATGAATGTTGAAGTTAGCATCAACAGATCTGCAACAGCTGAGCAACCTCTTACCAATTTATGGACTACACATATTATTGATATGGAAAGTACTGCTAGCAATTTTGTTATTTTTGTACCAAAATCCTAAATCCCAAAGAGCAGCTTATTTGTATGTTAGAAATTTTAAAACATGTAAATTAAGACATGTCAATCTAAACATATAAAATATTTTCTTCAAACCTAAGTACTTTAGTCAGATCAGAATATTTTAAGTAAAGATAAACAATTTGCAGAGGAAAATGTGTAACACTAAAAGGGTAAATTAAAAGGTATCAGCAAAATGTTTTCTCCTTCTTTAATTTCAGGAAATAACTTAAAATTTCCAAATCTTTCCAATTCCTCACTTTACAGCCTTGCCCTCCTAGTGCTGATAGAAATGCTACAATGAGTAACTGTTTTCAGTGTTGTATATATGAATTAAAAACGTAATAGGTCTTTAATAGCAAGATTGATCTTTGTCCCTAAGCCCATCACCTTTTTTTACTTTCTTCATGAGCAAAGGGAGACAATATTAAAGGATATGTAATATATATAAATAATATATAAGAAAGTATATCAGCATTATTATTCATTTTCTTCCTTCTCAATACATCTAAATAGAAATTTTAAGAACTTGACTCAGTTTTTGCAGAAGGGAGACCTAATACACTGATCTAAGTATTTTCTTCATCTCAGTGTGCAAACAACAAATGTTATGCCAGGTAGCAAGGCATCATGGCACAGTAGCATGAGAATTAGATTTGATATAAAAGATTTGCCTTAAAATCCTGACTTTGAGTCAAGATTTAACTTTAATTAATTGATAACAGTTTCTTATCCCACAAAGTTTTTACAGTGTTTAAATTGCCTGCATTTAGAGATTACAGTATTAAGATCTTGGACATATTATTGCCTCCTTTAATTATGTTATATTAGCATTAACATTGCTAAAAAGAAACAAGACCAAGAATGTAGCTAAAGAAGAGGTCTATTTCTCAGCAGGACTTCTATTAACTGAAGTATCTGGGAGCAATGCTTATGACTTTTTCTGAAAGTCAAGTTTTCCTAACTTTCTAAATATAGACACAAATTTTGCCTATTAAAAGTGATATAAGGACTTCTGGCAAGATGGCGACAGGCCGGAATGGTATGTGAGACCCTCTGCGAAAGAGAACATCCATAAAGACCCTCGCTCTCTCCCATGGGCTGCAGACCCATCTTCCGCAGCCTGTTCTTCACAGGGAGCTCAGCCGCCACCATCACCCGCCTTGCTACTTGGATATCGTGATGAACCGGGCTGCTCCTGCAGTCGCGGTGGCGGGACTGGGCTGCTCCTGCAGTCACAGATGCTGCTGCTGCGGTCATTCCCAGCTCATTCCTGAACGAACCCATGACTTCAGACCGTGAAGCCCAGCAAGCCGGATCTTCTGAGATTCCCACTGCCACGCCACGGAGAAAGGCCTGTGGATCTCCCCTGTGAAGTTGCCACGGCAGGTTGTGGATCCGTAGCAGGCTCCCTCCCCTCTGGACTGTAGCC